TATATATAAGCACTAAAGGCTCTATTTTCACAGATTTCACATTATCTGCATTCACAGATGCTGAAACACATCTTAAAACTCAACATCTGACTATTTCAAATGAGCTCAGGAACAATCTGAAATCCAAGACCAGACCAAGAAGACTCTCAAAGACATTAAAAGCATCTTGTAATGAGAGTATGATGAGGTAAATTATACATGGAACCTTTCCTTCTTCAAGACAGACCTTTTGAAAATTGAATAATTTAATAAATCCTAAGTAATAATTTCCTGTATGTTAATACCTTTCAGAAGAAGTGAAAGAGCCTGGTTTCCACCTCAGCCTCTTTTTTTTTGCTTTTAGAGGTTTTATTCACATCCAGTTAAGAGTCTCAAAATAATGTGATGTGATGGAGTAACTGCGTTCAGTTCAGAACAGAGCAGACTGATTCTATTTGTTTAATCACAGCAATAGAACGACTGCTAGATATCAGTGGTAAGAAACTTTGGATTTGTTCAAGGAATAGTTCATGCAAAAAATAATATTTGCTGAAAATGGACTCACACTACAATCCAAGATGTAGATGAGTTTGTTTCTTCATCAGATTTGGAGAAATGTAGCATTAGGCTTACCTTATTAAGCCCACCCTTAGTTACTGTTGCTATCCCCGACAAACAATGCCACTCTCACACAACAAATACTTATGCAATGTACTTATTTCAGTTTTTTTTATTTGTAATAAATTTACGAAGTTGTGGCAATTCTGTTTTTGCTTTGTCAGTATGGTGTATGGAGTGTATACTGATGTGGGAAAAAAGTACTTTAAAGCAGTATAACATAAGGCAGCAACATAACAAAACGTGAAACAAAATGATTGTATTACATACAACAACAATAAAACAGTGCATTGACATAAAAAAGGAAATTTACTTTTGGTACTTAAGTACTTTTAAAAGCAAGTACTTCGGTACTTTTACTTAAGTACCAAAAGTACATTTCCTTTTTTATGCCAATGCACTGTTTTATTGTTGTACGTAATAATTGCAGTACTTTTGAAGCAACTTACAATACATTACACCTGCTGAATACACTGACTAATACTCAAGTAAATTTACTTAGTTACTGTCCGCCTCTGGGTAGATTCGTATCAGATGTACGCGAAAACTGCATATCATATGCACGCCAACAAATTTCGTATCATATTCACGCGAAAACTGCGTATTATATGCATGCCAAACACATGCATATCATCTGCACGCCAAAGTCCATTTTTGCGTATCAATACGAGTTTTCGTTTTTATTTGGCGTACTATTTATACGCATTTTCATGAGACTGCAGGTTACTTCAGGTATGAAACAAGGTCTCAGGACTCTCAGCTTTCAAATGTTGTCATTTTTAAAGAAATTCAAACAATAGTTTTGTGGCTCTTTAATGTGTCGTGACAATGTATTGCCTCAGTTCAAACACGTGAACCGATCATCTTTTCATATTTACTTAAAGCACAAAATGCACATGAATAAACATCAAAATTATTTTATTTCAACCGCAGAACACACCATTTTTCAAGTTTAAGTCCACCGAAGTTAATCTACTCTCCTGTCTGATTTGTGGTTAAAGGCTAGGATACAGCTGCGGCTGCTGGGCATTCGCATTTACTTCTTTTCAGAGCCAACTATATAACGTAAAACCTATTAAATGGTTTAAAAAAGCACATGGCGCCATAGTTTCATCACTATACAGTGTTGCAGTGACCGTCTTTTTGCAGTAAAGGACCTAATAATGAGTGAGAAGATGACATGAAGCGCGAGGTTAGTTGCATTGAAAACAGATGAGAGCACGTGCATATAAAGCTCCCGATCGGGGCGAAGTTCACGGGATTTTGTCCACAGAATGCTAAGAGCACACTTTTTAACATATTATATTATTATTTAACACTCGGTATTTTAACTTAAGCGCTGCAAGCCATGCATACAGCACCGGACACGACATGTTTTCTGGTACGCAAAACAAGTACTTTAAAGGAATTCCTTTAGCTTATTTGCCGTTACTGTGGCAGCCAACAACAGCACAGCTTAACCCTCCCCACATATTTATATTTAGTTAGCTTATATTGAAAAAGTTTCAATTCAATCTAACTTTTTTTTTTTACTCCGTTTTAACATGGATTTCTATGGAGACCGGCCGTAGATGGCGGATAGCAGCGGCTGCACATAATATCCGTGTTCTGATTGGTCAGATCGCCTGTCAATCAAGCTCTTTGCGAACGGTTAATTAACATCTTGAGAAGACAAAAGCTGTGATGAACTACGAATCATGCTGTCGTTGCCACATTCAATTTGTGTTTATACGGTGTTTCCAGTCGCTCTGCTGGTTTTGTTACTGGTTTTATCGGTTTGGCTTTTAGTTTAAAAATTTTTTTTAAATGTTTCCGATCAACATACGAGTCCATAATTCATAATATCGCTTCTTCCAGTGATAAAGTAATCTTGTCTGAATCAGGAGAGAAATCTGCACAGATCAAGCACCGTTTACAAGAGAAAACAGCTCTAAATAAATGTGTTGGTGGATTTTTTCACAGTAGGAAGCTTTATTATGGATTATGGACTCCTATTTAAGCTGAAAGCAACAGTTTGAATTTAAAAATGACTCATTAAAGGATTTGTTTCCTACAAACACACAGTTTTTGTCTTCTCCAGATGTTAACTGATGGACTGGAGTGGTGTGGATTATTGTGATGTTTTTATCAGCTGTTTGGACTCTCATTCTGACGGCACCCATTCACTGCAGAGCATCCATTGCTGAGCAAGTGATGCAATGCTACATTTCTCCAAATCTGATGAAGAAACAAACTCATCCACATTGTGGATGGCCTGAGGGTGAGTACATTTTCAGCAAATTTTTATTTTTGGGTGAACTATTCCTTTCAGTTTAACAAAGACGAAAAAAAAGTAGAAGAGACAGTACTATTTGCTTTCAGTTTGAATTGAAATTTATCAAGTTAGAAAAGTTTGAAGAATAATTCTTGCAAATATAAAAATCCTTCTTTGGCTTGACCATATAGCCAAAAACAACAACAACAAAAAAAAGCATCAGAATCTCATCCAGAATCTAAAGACCATGATGCGTGTGCATTTATAAAAGCGATGAAGACCAGGTTGGGAGATGAGAAGCACATAAGGCCAGTGTTTGAGGAACCAGAGGGAATTCTGGGTCTCTTCAACATCTGAAGGCCCTTTCATGTGCCACAGCCACTAGCCAGCGGGATTCACAAAATCAGTCAGTGACAGCAGTCCACGCCATACAGAGGAACACACAACACCTCAGCACACTACACACGCCGATATACAAGTGCAAACTTATTTTGTTTGCAAGCATATATCTTATCCAATTCCACACATTAAGCAAATGTTCTGCAGATTTAAGGTAATAATCTTTGGCTTTCAGTCCATATCTGTAGCTCTGAGCTCATCTAGCCTATATTGGCCCCAAAAAGTATACAGACACTTAAGTCAGACTAAAAAATTCCATTGCATCACATACAAAATATCAAACCAAGTTGCATCTGCCAATCTCAAATGATTCTAGAGGGGTTTTTTTAGAACTAAGTTCTAAAAGTTTTGCATGAAGTCAGATCTCCAAATTACATCACCTATGAACATGTGCCACAAAGTCGTGACATCAAGATGCAACTTATTGAAACTAAAGCCATAACCTTTATTTCTCAGCACTGTCACTTAAATAACTGCCGATTAAAATTGTAAAATGTAATTAAAATTACACTTAAAGACTTCTCACCTGTGACAACGAATTACATTTTAATTCGTGCTGTCAAATGATTAATCGCGATTAATCGCATTCAAAATAAAAGTTTTTGTCTACCTAAGTGTGTGTACTGTGTATATTTATTATGTATGTAGAGGTGGAACCTCTGGATTGTTCTGATAGACCTTTGAAAACTGGCGACTCCGTTAAGAGAGTAAAGGGCTCAGAGAGTCACATCCAAGAAAGCTTTAATGAGTTGGGTTTATACAGGCCTCTTTGGTGAGCATAAATGTATACAGGCAAAAGTAATGGGGTATTTGGGGTGTGTATGTGTGTGTGGTCTGAAATAGAGGAAAATTGTGTAAATTAGATATAAAATATTACAGCATTTCTATTAACTTAGTACAGATGTTAAACATTTACATTCTAAACATAAACAGATAAATAATCATCAATGGTCTGAAATTCTCTTACAAATTCACAGTTATGATAGTGTAGCATCTCAAACTATCTTAAAATGGCTAACAGATCAAGATTTATATTAAATAACAATGCACTATTGCACGTGGAACTAGCATGTTAGCTTCCTAACGTAGATTAACAAATAACATAATACTGTGGAAATATGCGCTTACAAGATTAACAACATCATCACAATAACATCAACATTATTGACATGCATGTTTCTGCTAGAGAATGTAAAATAAACTTACTTTTCTGCATGAACGCACACAACTTTAAAGTTCGGATACTCACTCTGACCCAGCGCATGTGGTGTATAAAACGCAGTGTCTTAAAGGGAAGGTGTATAGGTATCAGTAAGATGAAAGATATGCACACTCTAGTGGTAAAATATTAAAGTGAAACTAAAGGAAAAGACCTTCCTACAATGTATATATAAATACACACACATGCATGTACAGTGGTGTGAAAAAGTGTTGGAAGAAAAACAAAATGAAGACTTTGGAGTGGCCTAGTCAAAGTCCTGACCTGAATCCTATTGAAATGCTGTGGCATGACCTTAAAAAGGCAGTTCATGCTCGAAAACCCTCCAATGTGGCTGAATTACAACAATTCTGCATAGATGAGTGGACCAAAATTCCTCCACAGCGCTGTAACAGACTCATTGCAAGTTATCGCAAACGCTTGATTGCAGTTGTTGCTGCTAAGGGTGGCCCAACCAGTTATTAGGTTTAGGGAGCAAACACTTTTTCACACAGGGCCATGTAGTTTTGGATTTTGTTTTCCCTTAATAATAAAAACCTTCATTTAAAAACTGCATGTTGTGTTCACTTGTGTTATCTTTTACTAATATTTAAATTAGTTTGATGATCTGAAACATTAAAGTGTGACAAACATGCAAAAAAATAAGAAATCAGGAAGGGGGCCAACACTTTTTCACACCACTGTATATATTTAAGAAAATTTGTGTTATGTTTATATATTAAATAGATTTAAATAATATAAATTATATGAATATACATATATGCATGTAAATACATGTAAATATATACATGCATGTGTGTGTATTTATACAGTATATACACAATAAATATACATAGTACGCACACATATATTATGTAAACAAAAACTTTTATTTTGGAATGCGATTAATCGCGATTAATCGTTTGACAGCACTAATTTTAATTAATACTTAAAACAAAACAGACCAACATTTTAATCTCTTAATAGAACAATATGACTAATATGTTCAGACAGTCTATAATAACTGGAGACAACACAACATATGAATCTGAGCATCATCTACTGCCAATGAACTTTACGCTGTACTCAATAACAGCCATGATTTTAACTGCCGTTCCCAACCACAGTCAGAGCATCAAACTCATCTTTGATCATTCAAACAGACCTGAAACACCCACTTGTCACAAACACTTTCTAGTATATCAGGAAATGAAATGTAGGTTTGGACTGTTGATGCTGATGGTCGGTTCATGCGTTCTCAGTCTCATGATTTTGGGTGGTCCGTCCTCAAGAGTCACACATGATACCTCACTTTCGCTTCGTAGTGCAAATCAATCACACCGTCCTGGGATTCTTCCCGTCTCCTGATGAGGAACACAGTCTAAACTGACCGATGCACCCTCCGGTGACGGACTGCACAGATGCTGTTCCAGCGCTTTCTCCATTTAACAAAGGCTGCCAGGATCCTCATCTGCCCACGCTAATGAGAGGCTCTGCCTTTGAGCTCAATGTCTTTGTAGTGGGAGGAAAGATTCAGAGTATAACTTTCAGACAGATGAATAAAACGCCATTTGTTCTTCAAAAGAGTAGAGAGAGAAACAGTTTGGTCACCAGCAATATCAGTCTTTAAACAGTGTTTTCTAGTGTTATTTCTAACTTATCTGTTGACGTTTAATGCTGTCACCCTATTTGGGATAAAATCTGCTCTGGTTGCAAAAAATGTATTATAATCACCTCAGTTATACACTGTAAAAATATATATATTTTTTAAGTTGTAAATAAAACAAACGTTCTAGGAGCATGTTTTACAAGAAAATACAATTTCAGTCTTTCTACTGTAAAATTTAATTATTCAATGTGTTACTTGCTGTTTCTTTGTAATTATTTGTGAAATTTACTAGCAATTTCTGAGTGAAAATAGTTTTTTTCAGTGTACACTGAGATTTCTTTTAGTAAATCCCACATCAACTTGTTTTACAAAAAAAAAGGTAAATTTCATAAATAATTACAAAGAAAAAGCAAGTAGCACAATTAATTAAATGAAAACATGAAAGTTTGAAGTAGAAAGACTGAAATGGTATTTTCTTATTAATTGTACTCCAATATCTGTTTTATAAGTATGATATATAAAAAAAAAATAGAAATAAATAAAAACTTTAAATCACAACTAATATTTGAATCTCTTAATAGAACAATATAGGACTAATATTTGAATCTGCTAACAGAACAATACCTACCAATATTCAAATTTAAACCATATCTACTGCTTCTATTTTGAAACTTGATTGAAAAGTGTGTATATGCTTTATTTCTTTAAAATAAATCATTAAATAACGTCTACAGGATCGTTCATACATGTTATAATCAAGTTGTAAACGGGCCCAAATGAAGACAGGAATCATGTCTTTGTGCCAGTGTTTACCTTACAAATATTTGGAGAAAGCAAAAATGCTACAAAATGCACGTATTTTGTAAAAACGTGTAACTTGCTCAAGCAAAACAAGACTAATATTTGAATCTCTTAATAGAACAATATAGGACTAATATTTGAATCTGCTAACAGAACAATACCTACCAATATTCAAATTTAAACCATATCTACTGCTTCTATTTTGAAACTTGATTGAAAAGTGTGTATATGCTTTATTTCTTTAAAATAAATCATTAAATAACGTCTACAGGATCGTTCATACATGTTATAATCAAGTTGTAAACGGGCCCAAATGAAGACAGGAATCATGTCTTTGTGCCAGTGTTTACCTACAAATATTTGGAGAAAGCAAAAATGCTACAAAATGCACGTATTTTGTAAACACGTGTAACTTGCTCAAGCAAAACAAGCACTATTTTTGGAATCAGCAGCCTAAAATTAGTAAGAAACAAGCACTGGATTTCATTCTGCATTTGAATTTGATGCAGACCAGTGTTATTTGGAGGGGTTTCTAGCTTGGCAAACTGTACTAGGGTTTTGCACATATTCAAGCTCAACACACAAATATAAAGGAAGAGTTAAACACACACATCCAACTTTCCCTCCAGGCCAGATGTGTCTAGGGTGCATATATTCAGTCGAGCTCACTCACAAGCAAATGCACAAATGCAGGTTCCCCTTTAACCCTGAAAAAGTCAAAACATCTAAATGCTTGGATGTCAAAACAGCTGAATCTTTGGAAATCAGATATAGTATGTTAAACAATTAGCTTTGAGAGATCTAGCCTGGAACAGAAAAGGGCAAAGGAGAACGAATGTTTTTCCAATGAACCCTGCAGGTCAGAGGCACAGAGGAGTTTGTAGCCTGAAGACAGGAGCTCTGTTTCTGCAGCGTCTATATTTAGGAGCCCTATAGTCAATGCTGATTGTAGTATATACTGCTGCAAACTGACATGTGAGACAAACTGACCTATGTGGCATTATATGCAGGCTTTGGCAGGAAAATTAATGTGCACTGAAATGATCATAGAAATTTACAATTATATTTAGCTCTGCTGAAATACCTTGTTTTATGAGTGAATCTCACAAAACTTCCCAAGGTGAGTTTTCACAGGCAATAATTATTATTATTATAATTATTACGTTTTTGTTTACATAATATGTGTGTGTGTGCTGTGTATATTTATTATGTATATATAAATACACACACATGCATGTATATATTTCAGAAAAATATGTTATGTTTATATATTAAATATATGTATTTATAATATAACTTATATGAATATAAATATAGACATGTAAATACATGTAAATATTTTCAAAATATATACTGTATGCATGTGCATTTATATAATAAAAATACACAAAACCCACACATATATTATGCAAACAAAAACTTTTATTTTGGATGGGATTAATTGCGATTAATCGTTTGACAGCACTAATATATATAATTTATTTATTTCATGACATTTTTTGTTTGTTTAAATGACCTGGGGCCTGTTTCATAAAACAAGTTTACCAAATAAGCCATGTTTATTTCTGTTAGTCTGACTTATTGCCAGTAGATCACTGGCAAAATGATGATGATAATAATAATAATAATAATAATAATGTTATTAATATTAATGTTATGATTATTACTACATTTATTTGTTTTTGTTTTTATTTATTTATTTAGGAAACATTTACATGTTTTTATGACATTCACTATTATATTTCACTGGCAATGTAATAATAATAATGATGATTATTATTATTATTATTATTACTTTGCCAGTAATATTATT